AACAAAGTAATAAAAAAAGCACAACCCCTCCCTCCCCCCACATAACACACACATATTGTGGTGCACACCATGCACATGCGCTGCAGTGCGTTGTTAGAACGCATCGCAGTGCATGATCTTTTTTATTTATTTTTTTTCTTTAAAAAAAAACATTAAATTAACTGTGGCAGCGCATGGCAAAGCTTTGTGACTCATTGCCATGCGTTGTGATACCTTGTGTTGCAATTAAATATACACCTGTATCATTTTATCACAACACAAACACCAAAACAATTTTTTACATAAGTCGATTATTTACAGTTTTGCATACCTTCATTTTTTTACCTTTTCGCAAAAAGGCGCAATTACAAATTTGCTAATATTTGTTATTTATTAACTCAATACAGTTTTATCTTTTAGATTTAGTCAGAAAATTATTTTTTTTGTGCACGGATACTGATTTTGGTGTGTTTTAACAATTGAATTGTGTATTTTTATCGGTTTAATATTAATTTGAGAAACATTTGCGCAATTATCGCAGGGCCTACAAATTTAGTATCACCATCTTTTTATTCTACCGGGCCTGCGCTTTCAGAAAATATATGGTTTGGGGGGTCTTTTACAAACGCTAGCAACGCAGCAGTTGAAAATCAATCCAATATGAAAAAATTGCAGAAAATTCAAAGATGGCTTGGCCAGCTGATTTGAAAAATGTTCCGGAGGGCTTGGCAGCGAAAGGGTTAAAGGTTTGTGACAGTTGCATAGTTTATAGCAACACATGTGATATATATTTAAAGTTCTTATGTGTGACACTTTTCTGATATATGGCTATGGATGTGTGACAAATTCATAAATAAATATTGAATTTTGGAGTAATGAAAACTGAAGGTAATTAAGACCAATTAAATTTTGGAGTAAAGGTGCCCATACACCTTACGACCATCGCAAGACTTTTGTCTTGCGATGGTCGTATGCTTCTTGAAAGCCCGTACGATCTGCCCACCTTGGACGGGCCGATACAAGGCCATGCTGACCATCGCCACTCCCTCAACCCACCCTTGTCAATTGTTGCCAGAACGTTGTCAGCCCAGAGTGACACTGGTTGGCAGGATGCGGCAAAAGAGGCTGCCATTACTGACCTCCTCTAAAAATATGTGTTGCCTGTCTGGCATGTTGGTTCAATGTGTTCAGAGTAGAAATATTTACAAATTCTGCAACTGAACTATTTTGTCTGTACATTTTAGCACATATTTTATTGTTCATGCTGACATTAGCTGCCTGCTTAGCCGGATGTGTCAGTATATAGCTTAGTAAAATGGCTATATTAAATATAAAGTCTAATGTGTCATGTCATCTATGTGTTCATTGTTACTATGATCCAAGTTTTAAAGGAAGCCTGTACTAAGAAATTAAGAAGGACTGCCATTACTGATTTTCTTTGAAAATACCTCTTGTCTATCTGTCATATTGGTTCAATGTGTTCACAGTCATGGCAGTTTCAAAGCTTGAGCTATGGTCTTGTGGTGAGGGTTTAAATCAGAACACCACCTATATTTTGTTTTAAAAAAATGTTAGTTCAATGGTTTTAGTATTTTCTGAATCACTGACCTTGAATAATTGGGACTTTACAGGATGCAACTCATATAGTATAAGGCCAGAAAGCCAGGCAAATAGCATTTTCAAAAAAATATTAGAAAAGGCAGTCTATATATTTCCCTAAGGACAATTTTCCTTTATGAACATCAATGGAATAAAGTTGTCCTGACCATGTGTCTTCCTTAACTGCAGGTGTTTAGACCCCCTTCCTAGCCAGACAATTTTTCAGTATTCAGGGCTGCGGTACTTTGACTGACGTTTATTCCGTCATGCAATGCTGTACTGAAATGAATTTTATACCATTTTTGGGGGACAGATAGAGCTTTCTTTTGGTGGTATTTAATCACCACTATGGGTTTTATTGTATTACTATAATTAGGAAAAATTTGAAAAAAAATGTTTTTTTTTACATTATGTTAGGAAACATTTATTATTACCCAGTTTTTTGGTAAAATATGAAAGATCGGGTCACGTCGGGTAAATAGACACCAAACATGTCAAACTTTAAAATTGCGCGCACCCTTGACATCGCAGAAAACTACCATACCCAAAATTGGCCATAGGCGACACTTTAAAAGCTTTTACCGCTCATCAGTTTAGTGCTATCAGTGATTGATGGCCCTAGAATTATTGCTCTCACTCCGACGTTCGCGGCAATATATAACATGTGCGGCGTAATGGGCGCAATCGTCTTTTTTGCACGTATGCGCCCCCGACGCATGTTTGCATGCGTATATAAATGTATACATGTTTTATTGTTTTATTCTTTTTTATGTGTAACTGAAATGTTTTGGGAGGGGACTTTAATTTTTTTTCCTATTTTTTTTGTTCCACTAAACTTTATTGCTATCACATACGGGGGCTAATAAAACCCCCCTATGTGATAGCAAAATATGTGACAGGTCCTCTTTATGGAGACATCAGGGGTCTCCAAGACCCCTAATGTCACCTAGGACCCCCCAAAAGAAGCTGATGAAGCACAGATCTGCTCCATCAGCTTCTTTCCAGCTTCTGAATCTGGAGAGTGGCACAAGAATGCGGAAGTGATGTGATATACAACACTTCCACATTCTTTCAGAGGAGAGGGGACCGGAGGGAGCTCGTGTAACGATCTCCCTCTGATCCCCTGTGACACAGGCCCCATGCTGATCCCCGCCTTGCACCGGGCACTTCAGAGCCTGGGATCAGCGGGACAATGGCGGGGACGGCGACCACGGAGGGGGGGCACTGATCGTTACCCCATACAATCTATCCGCCGGCTCTACAGCCGGTGGATCGCTTGTATGTTAACAGGCATCGCTGCCTGTTTTTAAATATCCACCATTTGCCGCTCGCGCCGCTGGGCGAGGAGACGTGTCTGAGCGGACGTCTAAAGACGCCCGCTCAGATCTAGAGAGCTCCTAGCCGCCGTTTTTCTACTATGGCCGGCCCGGAGGTAGTTAAGGATCCTGTTTCTCGCTGGTGATCCAGATTTTCTTAGTAATAGAAAATCAATAGAAGACTCATTTGCCTTTATTAATCTGTGCCCACTGTATGCTCTAGATAAGGCAGACTTTCAAAGGTAATTTTCATTATGAAAAGAAAACATTGACATTCTTTTCTGAGGATATTCCTGTACACTGTCTATTAAACAGTGCTGAAAAAAGCTTGCAGTCTAGAGTGTATTGGATTGATTTGTACATCATTTGGCAATGCATAAAGTCAGTTTCTAATATACAGTGCTTATCATAGTCTAGCAAGCTTGTGCTACATAGCAATCATTTTATTAGGCAACATTACTAATGCAAATTTATGTCAGTGCAATAGACAATGATTATAATGCCATTTTCCATTTGTACAGACAATATAAAATTAATTGAAGGAATCACAATGTAAAATTAGCCCTCTACAGGAAATGTGTTGATTAGCTATTTTCTGCATAAAAACATGTAATAATTTACCTAAACAACTAGGCACTGTGTCATTCCACTGGGCAAGAGCACTTGGGACAGTCTGACATCGTATTGTTTTAGAACCCTGAAGTAGGTATCCAGGGTTGCATTCAAATCGAACTATAGAGTCAGCAGAAAAGTCAGAACCAATTCTTCTGCCATATCTTGGCTCAGGAACAGAACTGCACTGAGTGTCACTGGTGCGTGGAACCGCTACATTAAGAATAAAGAAAATGAAAACATACATATTAAACATTGTTGAAAACACATAGCAATACATTAATAAACTGTGTGCACTCTAAATAATGATATTTATTGAAATATTTATTATTTAAAGCAGATACCTTAAAAACTTAATGCAGTCTCATTAGTCTCATTTTGTGAACTATGATGTTGTCAATAACAAAGAATAAAACTATATAATTTTGCAATTTGCAAATGTATGCATTAGGGATGCACCAATACCGATACCAGTATCGGTGCTGATACCAAGTATTTGCTCCTGATGCCTATCCCGATACTGGACTTTCCAGTATCAGAAAGCCGGGTGGCAAATCATTACCCACCCCGATTTTCCTGATTGGCCAGAAAGCAGGCTCCATGCTTACTCATCACCTGGTGATGAGGGAGCATGGAGACAGCTTCCCGGGTAATTGGGAAGCTGGGTGCCGAGTCATGACATGCCGCCTGGCTTCCTTAATGGGACTTCCGGTTTCTGTGCATCCCTATTATGCACAGCAAAGTTTTGCTTTATGCTGAAATCATCAGACTAATCTACTAGTTCACTGATGAAGTTCCTATTTTTAATGTGTTCCTGTTTTAAATCATAAATGCTGTACAAAATTTAAAGTAAAGCAATGCAAGTTCATTGTCTATAAATGTAAAAGGTCCTGAAATTATTTCTTTTGTTGATCAGTACATAATTACATGATGGTAAAGGAAATGAAGGTGAAGCAATTTCAAATCTAGCATTTTTAGTGCCTGCATATTTATATGTTTTGCAATGGGTATTGCCCTGACATTGCCATCAGATGTGTTTAATGGCAAAAGTTCCGGCTGAAAATAAATACTTCTTCCTGTGTCTTTCCAAACTCTTCTGTTAAAAAATTTCCATTGGGGCTTAAAATTGGAGTCTGTACTGCAATTTTGTTTCAATCAACTGCACAGCAATAGAGATATAAAACTGATTGCTCTGCTGCACTCAAAATAAAAGTTGCCTTTTGGCTTAAAGGAAAACATACTGTGTACAGCTTTGTTTTGTCTTTTATAGTTTCAATATCTAGGAATGTGTAACTTTGCAAAACAATATTCTGCATATGTAATGTGTACTATTTGCATCTAAACAAATCACAAAAACATCTAAAAACCTGCACAATAGTTATGTGCAAACTCTAATAAATGTTGTGATCTATAAAATGTCATCTGCAGTGTAAATAGTGTGAGGCACACTAATAAACAAGAAACAAAATATAAATCACTGCACTCTTCAAAGAAAAAATACTAGCATAAATATCTAAAGAGGTTAAATACATCTAAACATCAGTCTATCTTAGTGTTGAAAAAAATTCAAATCACAAAACATAGCTCAGTTACATTATCTGGAAAATTACTTTCTATGGAAAAACACTGTTTGGAAGGCCCCCATTTCTCTAACAATTAAAACACTTGCCAAAATGTCATGCAGGAGCATTTCCTCATCATGCCATCCACAACAAACATAATAACAGACACAGCTCACCTTTCACTGATTACCATAATGTGATCCTGTTGTCAGAATATACTGCAGTAAATGATCTTTAAAAAGAATACCTCACTGACCTCTATAGCTCTAGACCGCTGCAGGCACTGTGGAGCAATTCATCTTTAAAGTTCACAGTAGATACTCTGAAGTTGTCTATGTTAGCTATCTCAGCAGCTCTATGTTTACAATAGAAATTTGAAGCCTAGAAGAATGCCAATTTATTAATAGAAGGGGGGAGTAGGGTGAGCTAAGTTACTGTGAGAATGCATTGGATTACTCCAGTGCTTCTGCTGTGCACTATGCAAATAAATTGCTCCAGTGTCTGCAGCCACAAAGGTCAGTCAGGACCAGTTGAATGCTTATTTGCTGCTTGTTTGGAATATGTCAATAACTGAATGTCCCTAGCCAAACCACATAATAACTTTAAATCAGAAATTGTTTTGCTGGGCTGGTTCAGTGCATATTGTAAGTGCTCATAACTTTTAGTCAAAGTATATCCAAAGCCATTTTTTTATTTTGAATAGAGTAGGGAGGGCTGTATTTCCTATCTATGTCTCATTAGGTAGATGTCTCTTTACTTTTTGTCTTGTAGACTTAACAGGAAGTGAGAGAATATCTTTCTATTGTGAGGACCAGCGTTCATGGGAACAAATGTTCCCTTTGAGAGATTTCCCATCCATTCCTGTTCTGTTGGCAACTCAAAATGTTGGATTTGGCCTCACTTTGTAATGACATTAGTGATCAAGACAATTAGAGGGACACGGACACCAAGAAAAACCTGGCAGATCTAACCATTCACCATTATACAAATAAAAAGAAAATTGTTTTGTTAAAAGTTACAATTAATGTCTGTTTTTTTATATTTTAGAGAGTTGATCCTGTTATGTGCCAGGATGGTATTGTTACCTAGGTGGCGGTATACCTGAGGTTGTACACACACAAATGCACAATAGGGTCTAAGAATGAGAAGTTTGCTAACAGCTCAAAGATGAAATGCAGACATTCACAAGCTCAGAAACTGATTGGTTGCTATGGACAAAAAACGATTTCCTATAGCATACTTCTCACACATCAGCACCCCCATTGTACCTTGCAATAAGGTTATTTAACAAACACATATGTTGTTAATTTGTAGAAGGGCACTGGAGTTCTGAGAGGAATACATATAACATACAAAACTCCTGCAAGTAGTGTCATAGAGTGGGTCACATCCAGAACTCTAGTAATGTAAAGTAGCAATTAACACTACTGAGCCACTTGTACTGGTTTACTAAAATAAATTAACAAGAGCAGAGATAAATAGCTAAAGTACACTTGCATTCCAGGATCATGTGCACATAGAGATTGCTATCCTTGAACATATTAAGCAAATTATATACTAATGTTCAATGTCTGTGGTGCAGTCCTAGTTTGCTATGTGTGTTCAAACATCCAAATAACGCTGCTTTGTATCCTTCTGATCTATGACAGGTAATTTAGATATATTTTACTATTATCTACACCTGTGTTGGTTGGTGGGAGGAACACAGAGGTACAGATTATATGAATTCTTTTTACACCATTTTGAGATCATGGTAACTACTATTTCTGTATATAAATAAGAGGAAAGAGTACTTTTGTGTGCATCATTGAACACCTTTACCTCAAAGAAATGAGAAATCAGCAGTGACAGATGGCAAGAAAGGCAGTTGGCATTAAACTTACTGCCTTGAGCAACGTTGATGAACAGAATGTTCATTCATATACCAATTTTAGGTGACAAAAATGCATTTAATACTTAAAAACTCAGATCAGACAGCATCTAAGCTGAGAATTGCTAAATGTTCATCTAGCTGTTTTAAAATAATAAAACCAGAAAGGATTTTAGTAGGAGAGTAGATGAAACAAAAGCAGTTATTTCTGATGTTTATTAGCCTGTTCTAAATATTGTTTTACAAATTAATTTCATCATGATTAATGTTTTGCTCTATACGAATGAAGATTTAACTTGGGAGATTACAAGACTATGTTCTCTTTGAATAAATGTTGACTAGTTATAAGTCTCAACCATTGTTAAATAGGAATCTTGTTTCCTCCAGTAATTATTCTTCATCCTTTAGTAAATGTTTCACACTGCTGTGAAACAAAATTGAAATCAGCCCAGTGGAAAGTGAGCAAAGAATAAGGTCAACCAACAATATAGAGTGATATATAAAATGATTGACTTTGCAGGCCAGATTAGCGTGTTTATTCAGGGAATGTACAATGCAGAGAATAATATCAAGCCAAATGCTGAAGCTTAATATACTCTTTTAATAGATAAGAAAAAATATAAAGTTGCATCAGTATGGGATTTGATCAAGTTTGAGCTATGCTTATGAAAATTAGTTTGGGCAGATGTTTTGTGCAATACCATGAATTCTTCTACACTTGATAATGGACAAAAACGATACATGACTGGTTAATATATAAATGGCTAGAAAATGGCGTGCGCAAAAATATTAATAAATTAATAGATTTAACAGGAATTGAAGGCCTGTAAGGCTATGGAAGACAGGCAGAGAGATCAAGAAAATGACAAAGTATTATTTTGTTCATCCCTAGCTCAACATTTGTATTTGAGTGGTAATTAAGAAGACTTTGGTTGTTCTGAATGAATACAAAGAGGATTAAAGCAAACATTAACCATTTAAGACAAAGTTGAAGGTTCCCTTTAGAACAAGGAGGGTAAGCAGCACATACTCTTTTTGCCAGTAGGAGTTGGAGATAATTCAATTAGAAAAGCTCATGTGATTCTCACTTTTGCTCCCCACAAGCCAGGCCAGAAAACATCTGCATGGAAGTAGGGGGAGGATACTTAGCCCTGGGTTCAATCTAGTAATTGGTTTCAAATTACACAGTCATTTTTCTGACATATTTTGTTAAAAAATGGGCTAGTCTTTAGTACAGAGTATCCCAGCAGGGGGAGGTAAGTATGCAAGCACAGGGTCAAATTTAAATACATGATGATTGGGGCTACTGTGAGGCATTTTTATACAGCAAAACATATGTATCAACCAAACACGAGCAACGTGTCACATTTTCACGCCGTTATGGCACGGTTTTATGTATTTACGTACATGCGCGTCATGTAGCATGCTCCATAGGCTACACGCCGCTCTAATAGCGGCATGCAAGTCTCTAAAAGCATATTTCCACTAATGCCATATATGGAAAAATCATGCACATGATGCATATATAATGCTGCTTCACAGTTTAGACAAAAATGGTTAGCTCATGCATTTACATTCCTGCATTCATCAACGCAAGCAACACAACGTAGAGCTAATTTACACAACATCACCTTGCAATTCATGCAGGGCTTTGCACAACACACCTGCTGGGTGTGTACACACTACAAAGGTGTCTAGATTCTACCAATAGATCATGCTGGGAGGGAACACACTACAGAGGTGTATACTTGTTCGTGGCGTGTTTATAAGGTTATTAAATCAACCCCTTTGTGTTACTGAAAGGGTTATTGGGAATTTTGGAGCTATTAGGCTGGACAAAGTGTGAGGGGAGCTTATCTTAGGGCATCATTCTTATAATCAGTAGCTTTTTGCAGTACTAGTACCTAGCTCCCCATTCTAAAAGCTAGTGTATTGTAAAGGAGAAAATGCAATTGTTTTAATTTTTCTAGAACACATTTGAAGAACTGGAAATCAGAACCAGACAAGCCCCGTAATAATTGTGCTTTGTGATATTAAAATGCATTTTTCCCTGTATAGATTTACGTGCCCTATAGTATTTTTGCAAAAAAGAAAACATTATGTCATTTCAAAAGTATTTCGAAATAATAAACAACTCAACCCAAAATGTATTTCTGTGTTCTGAGTTAGGTTGAGGCAAAATATAATTGTTAGGTCCTCACTGCTGTTTACAATCCAAGCAAAAAAAAACAAGCCCAAAGATAATGGAGTTCAGTGACTTTGTTTGCAGCCAAACTCTCAGCATGCTACACTTGATCTGAAGATGGAAGGAGATCTCCCCATAATAGTCCTGCACAGTAGTAAGGGCCTGCCAATAATCCTAGGTTTGCCCTATTCTTTCTAAAAAGATGTAGAGCAAACTCTAGGAAACTGATTTACTTTTTCTGCAGTTGAGTTCTGATCATGTTTTCTGTTATTGAAATTTGACACATTACTGTCTACAATGTTACATAAGCCCTAACTCCTAATAAATATGTAAAACTGATTTACCAATAGCAACCAATCAAAATTTACTTTACTAATACTGATTGATTGCCTTTTGTACTGTGCCTTGCTGATAAGTTTGGGCAAGTCTGTTTATACTCCAAAACATTATCCAAGAAATCAGGTTCAAGGCTACATAGGTCATGGAAAAGATCCCTTTCCTTTATTCCTTTCCTTTGAATAGATTCCAACCTCGTTCATTTCTATCATAATTATGCTGCATTTTTCAGAAATGTAAATTCTCAGCTCAAGTTAATAAAGACAACCTTATGAATATTTATTTGCTTTCACCAAAATGTTTATAACCTTCTGAAAGAAAGAACAGGATCTCAGTTACCTTGGTAAACAAAATGAAATCCTCTGGCAGGTGCACCATTTGTTGTGTTGAATCTCAGAAGAATGTGATTCGAAGTGGCTAATGGCATTGTTTCCCCTGTAAAATAACAAATACAAATATTATAGTCTAAATTTAGATTTTTAATTTGAACTGTAATATCTACTTGCACAAAGTAACGCTTTTTTACCAAACATTGCAACATGTTTTTTTCTGACTGTATGGGGTTGATTTACTAACCTTATAAACACGCCACGAACAAGTATACACCTCTGTAGTGTGTTCCCTCCCAGCATGATCTATTGGTGGAATCTAAACACCTTTGTAGTGTGTACACACCCAGCAGGTGTGTTGTGCAAAGCCCTGCATGAATTGCAAGGTGATGTTGTGTAAATTAGCTCTGCATTGTGTTGCTTGCGTTGATGAATGCAGGAATGTAAATGCATAAGCTAACCATTTTTGTCTAAACTGTGAAGCAGCATTATATATACATCATGTGCATGATTTTTCCATATATAGCATTAGTGGAAATATGCTTTTAGAGACTTTTTGGTTGATAAATACGTTTTGCTGTGTAAAAATCACACGCACCTAGTGTGTGCGTGTGTTTAGGTTAGTAAATCACCCCCTATCAGTTTAACTACTAACTTGACAGTAAAGCAATTGTTCAGATCATATAATTCAGATTACATAATACACTGTAGGTTCAATGGTTAAGTAACCATTGAACTTTCATACAGTTATCATGGTACACTTCTGTGTGTTGACTTTGTAGTTTCCTGACCACCATAAACAAAACGTCAGTGCCTGAAATTGGAATGCCATTTTAGAAGGACTGGATTACTAAAAGCTAAGAGAAAAATATGATCCAGATCTGCCTGACCTTGGGAAAATAGGAATAAATGTTTTCCTCCTGTGTGGCTAATTTGGCCACAGTTGCCCAGGGAGTTTTATATTACATTCCCGTGGACCAAAACTGCAGGAGCTACGAGAAGACAAATTTAACAATATTAAAGTACACATCCAGGCAAACTAAAATTGAAAAATATAATAATATTCATATTATTTATCAAAACTGGATTAGACAAAATCTGGAGCAGCTGTGCACAGCTACAAATCAGCTTCTCTCATTTTCAAATCTTAACTGGACAAACTGACAAGATAACCTGATTGGTTGCCCTGGGCAACTGCTGCAGATTTTGTCTGCTCCAGTTTTGATAAATTCCCCTCAATGTGTTTTTGCAATACATGCACAAAACCACTTGATTTATTTACTGAAAAACACTTGCTCTGCCATAAACCCAGTGTTCTCCTAACCTTTTGTATGAACTGACAAACACAGTGCCTCTGCTGCACTAAAATCCTAAGTGGTGTTTTCAGACCTGCCCAGTTTTCCCCTGCTGGACTACTGAACACCCCCTCATCAGCTCCATAATATATGGCTGATAACTGGGCAAGGCTAATAATACTGCTTGGGATTTCAGCATAGAAAAAGCAGAATTGTTGGCCCACTACAGGAGTTTAGGTGGTGCTCACTGGA